ACACTTCCAAGAAGTTAAAAGAACACTTCCGAGAAGTTCACAGAACTCTCCTGAGAAATTCACAGAACACTTCCAAGAAGTTCACAGAACACTTCCAAGAAGTTCACAGAACACTTCCAAGAAGTTCACAGAACACTTCCAAGAAGTTCACAGAACACTTCCAAGAAGTTCACAGAACACTTCCAATAAGTTTACAGAACACTTCCAAGAAGTTTACAGAACCCTTCCGAGAAGTTCAAAGAACACTTCCGAGAAGTTCAAAGAACACTTCCGAGAAGTTCACAGAACACTTCCGAGAAATTCACAGAACACTTCCGAGAAGTTCACAGAACACTTCCAATAAGTTTACAGAACAATTCCGAGAAGTTAAAAGAACACTTCCGAGAAGTTCACAGAACACTTCCGAGAAGCTCACAGAACTCTTCCGAGAAGTTTACAGAACACTTCCAAGAAGTTTACAGAACACTTCCGAGAAGTTAAAAGAACTGATGAAACATAATGTGAAGTTTTTGGTAGCGAGCCCATACAGCACCGCATTTTCGCCCGTTCAGGCGAAATTATCTAGTTATACTGGCAACCTTATGTCTTCGGTTACTTGTATTCGGGTTTTTCGTCATGATCATCATTTCCTCCCATCATCATTTGTTTAGATCAGTCAGTCTTTAGTAGTAGCTCAAAGTGAATAAACCTAAAATTTAAACTGAATATTTCTGGTGAAATAAAAGGTGTGGAAGAACTCTTCTTGTTCTTAGTTTGGTGCAATCCAAAAACTGCAAGTGTGTGTATCGCTCTGGTCGTCTTGTCAGTGACATTCGGAGTACTGGCATCTCTGCTATTGTGAAGTGCATCGTATGCACTTTCTTCCCTGTGCGCACACTGGGGCCGTGCTGTGGCCACAATTAGAAAAGTGAGACACAACGTAGGAGTAAGTTTGAACAAGAACACTTCCGAGAAGTACACAGAACACTTCCGAGAAGTACACAGAACACTTCCAAGAAGTTCACAGAACACTTCCAATAAGTTTACAGAACACTTCCAAGAAGTTTACAGAACCCTTCCGAGAAGTTCACAGAACACTTCCGAGAAGTTCAAAGAACACTTCCGAGAAGTTCACAGAACACTTCCGAGAAATTCATAGAACACTTCCGAGAAATGCCCAGAACACTTCCGAGAAATTCACAGAACACTTCCGAGAAGTTCACAGAACATTTCCAATAAGTTTACAGAACACTTCCGAGAAGTTCACAGAACACTTCCAAGAAGTTTACAGAACACTTCCGAGAATTTAAAAGAACACTTCCGAGAAGTTCACAGAACACTTCCGAGAAGAACACAGAACACTGCTGAGAAGTTCACAGAACTCTTCCGAGAAGTTCACAGACCACTTCCAAGAAGTTCACAGAAAACTTCCAAGAAGTTTACAGAACACTTCCAAGAAGTTTACAGAACCCTTCCGAGAAGTTCACAGAACATTTCCGAGAAGTTCAAAGAACACTTCCGAGAAGTTCTCATAGCACTGCCGAGAAGTTCACAGAACACTTCCAAGAAGTTCACAGAACACTTCCGAGAAGTATACAGAACACTTCCGAGAAGTTCACAGAGCTCTTCCGAGAAGTTCACAGAACACTTCCAAGAAGTTTACAGAACACTTCCGAGAAGTATACAGAACACTTCCGAGAAGTTCACAGAGCTCTTCCGAGAAGTTCACAGAACACTTCCAAGAAGTTTACAGAACACTTCCGAGAAGTATACAGAACACTTCCGAGAAGTTCACAGAGCTCTTCCGAGAAGTTCACAGAACACTTCCAAGAAGTTTACAGAACACTTCCAAAAATTTAAAAGAACACTTCCGAGAAGTTCACAGAACACTTCCGAGAAGTACACAGAACACTGCTGAGAAGTTCACAGAACTCTTCCGAGAAGTATTCAGAACGCTTCCGAGAAGTTCACAGAACACTTAAAAGAAGTTCACAGAACACTTCCAATAAGTTTACATAACACTTTCGAGAAGTACACAGATCACTGCCTAGAAAAGAGAAGTTCACAGAATTTCCAAGAAGATCACAGATCTGCACCGAATTCTGGGAAACCTTATAGAGTTTTTGGCAAATTAAGTTCCTGGAGCTTTCACGATGCTCCCGGAATTACCTAGAAGTTCATAGAACTCCAGAAAGTTCATGGAATTTCCAAGAAGTTCATCGATTTCCAGAATTGAAGAGAACCTTATAGAATTTTTGGCAAATTAATGTATGTTTCCGAAACTTCAGAGAGGTTCACGAAACTTTCAAGAAGTACAAAGATGTTCATAGAAATCTAAAGAATTTTATTGATTTTATGATATGACAGAGTAAAGCTCACGGAACTCCCGAAAAAATCATGGAACTTTCAAAAAGTTCATGGAACTTCCAAAAAGTTCACAGGTCTCTTTAGATTTGCGGACGACGAATTGATGGTAAAAGCCACGGAACTCCTGAGAAGCTTAAGGATCTTCCGATCAGTTCAAGCATCTTCATAGATTCTGGAGAACCTTTTAAAATTATGGCAGATTCATAGAAGCTCCCGGAGTTTTCAAGAAGTGCACGGAAATCCAAAGAAGTTAATGGATCTCGCCAAAAGGTCATGGAATTTCCACGAAATTGACGGAACTTCCGAAAAGATCCATAGATCTCCATAGAACTGTGGAACACCTTATAGATTTTTTGCAAATCAATAGACATTCCCGGCGTTCACAATAGAAGATCATATATCTTTTTTTAAATTCCGATTCGTTCAAGGATCTTCATAGAATTGTAGAGAACCTTTTATAATTTTGGCAGATTAATAGAAGTTCTCGGAGCTTTCAAGAAGTTCACGGAAATCCCAAAAAGTCCATGGATCTCCCCAGAAGATCATGGAATTTTCCCGAAGTTGACGGAACTTCCGAGAAGATCCGTTGATCTCCATAAAACTGCGGAACACGTTATATAATTTATGGCAAATCATTATACGTTCTTGACGTTGACAATATGAACCTCTAAGATCTTTTTAGAATTCTAGAGAACCTTATAGAACTTATACCAAATTAATAGAAGATTCGAAGAATTTCACGGATCCTCATACAAGTATGCGGAACTGTCGAGAAGTTAACAAAACTTCCGAGAAGTTAACAAAACTTCCGAAATGTTTACAACAAACATCCGAGAAGGGTTGCTCTTCGAATTTTTCCAGAGATAAATCCTCCAGGAATGCCTAGGATCCGGGAGGATTCCTTCTGGAACCCCCGATGAATGTCTCCAGGAATCGGTAGAATATTTCATTAGGAAGATTGCTGCAAGAATTCTAATAGAATTCCTTTAGAAAGCTCAGGAGTATTCTTCCATAAATACCAGGACGATTTTTTAGGAAATCCTAAAAGGTTTTCTTCAGACTTCTCAGAACAATCCCAGGAGGCAATCTAATAAGGATTCCTCCAGGAATCTATTTCTGGGATATTCCTTAAGTCATCCCAGGGTTATTGCTCCAGGAATCTCGTGAACATCGCTCAAGAAATTCCAAGAGGATTTGTCCAGGAATATCTGAAATATTTCTATTGGCAATTTCTCTAGAAGTCGCAAAAGAGTTTCTCCTGAAACCCCACGATGATTCTTTCAGGAAACACAAGAGGATTTCTTCCTACGTTACGGGATGTAAGATCTACCAGCGATTCCTAGACCTGACTACTTCAAACTAGAGGAACAGGATTTTTCAGTAATCAAAGGAACACTTCTTAGTCCTTGTTACTTTTTATACCTTGTTAAAAGTGATAAGTTTTCGGGTTGTCTGGACCTAGGATGATCTTGAAACAAGGGAATTGAGTTAGGTAAGCTATGGTATGTGGTTCCTAATTTTTTATTCGTTGTTCCCTAGTTTGAAGTGGTTAAGACTAGGGTCATGGTCATTATCGGTGTCAAAGCTTAATTTTGATACTAGGCACGTCCATTTGTCAGTCACAATAGGATTCTATTGTGACTGACAAATGGAGACGTGCCTTGGAAGGTGCTCTAACTCTTTGAATGGTATAAATAGCGGGACTTTAGACATTCACTAAACTAAGGACACGGGATATACTACAGTAGATCAAAGTACTGGTCGCAGTGGTTTTATGTCCCGAACAGAGGAAAATAATGGGATCTCTCCAGGAATCGAGGAAGAATATTTTTTCCGGTAAAATACAGAACCCCATAAAAAATCCTCTTGATTTTTCCCTAGATTCAATCGGTTTGCGTCGGTATGATCGCCCAACCTTGGTTTAGATGAATCCACGGGTGCATTTTGGACTGACTTCCCCTACAAACATCGCTAAATTTAGCAAGATGTCCCTCTTGCTTTTTAAGTGATGTACTCAAAAGATCTTCGTCCCAACCAAATTCGCCCAGCTTCCACTCCATGCTTATAAATAAGAATCATTATGGTAACTGTTAATTTCACTAGCTTCAAACCCTCAACCGGTGATAATTCCCGTTTCATATAATTTTACCCTCGAATGCAGATCCACGTCGTCGACGTTATTGCCGTCGGGTAAATCCCATCGGTAAAAGTTATTTCCATCCAGTTATTTGCTGGTAAGTACCTATACTGGTTTGTCCGAAGCCCGCCTTCTCAGCGATCGAATTTCAATACGACCCTGCCCGCTGCTACTTCTGAAACTGTTTAGCAAGTATCACTCTGTGGGTAGGTATTGGCCATTAAAACATGTCTTCTCACGGCAATCTTGAAAATAAAAGGCTTGGTGATGCAGATTGCAAAACGTTGCACGGCAAGGTATGGAAGTTTTAAAACGCTTATACTTAGTTTTCGAATGAAGTACATTAAAATAATTTGAGTGTTACTGTGGGGGCTAATAAGGAGAAAATTTTGAAATCTAAATCAACAAGCCTTTTTCTCCAAGATGGCCGCGATTGCCCAAGTCTTAAACGCCTATGGGTGACACTCATCTTTCTACACTACCACTAGCGGTCGCATAAGCAGCCCGAAACATTCTGCATCGTCGAATCAATCCGATTCAGTTGTCGCTGAAGAACGAACGAAGGAGGATCCTCGGAAAGAAACGCTGGGGCACACACAAAATGAGACCGTTGATTGTGATTTTGTGTAAGTGTCGAAACATTGATTGATTTATACGTTGAGTGATAGTGAAAGTGTGATTTATAGTGTTTGGCAGTTTGTAAGACCGTCCAGCAATATTTTCCATCCAAAATCCAAATTCCAACGTGACATTACATAGTTCAAAAATGTCATTACAATACTCAGATTGAGGATCGTTTCAGAGTAGACCTTATTTAAATTTGAGGGGATTCACTGTTTTTGTTGATAAGGCTGTCACTAGCAACTTTAACGGTCTTTTTTCTGTTTACTTGACCTTAAATTCTAAAGGTTAGAGATCTCGTTTTCGGACAATATAACAGCGAAGAAGTTCGCATGGAGTGAATTATATATGAATATTTCTCAACTGGTTTTAACATTATGATGATGATTGAAATATTAACCAACGGCCAATGCTCATTATCACCAACCTGGGTTGAGCACAAATCTGCAAAAATGCCGTGATTTCCCAGTGATACCTTGTAGTCCAACGAACTATCTTTCATCGTGCTTAATTAAGCCGCACATAACAAACCGGTCATTCTGGTTCTTCCGCCTGCGCGCGCTTACCGGTAGACGATCAGTGAAGATCTTGAACTTCTTCTGTAGCCTCCAGTCGGTGGTGTTTTCGTTGTTTTTGAGTTCAGCTGTAAATCGAGTTCCTACTTTACGGAAGATGGGATTCCCCAGCCAGAGACCGGTGATGTGCGATAATGATTGAGCATACACAGTGGTGGCGATGATCGTGAACCGCCGAGACGACAACCGGCTTGAGACTATTTGTGTGTGTTTGTGTCACACTGATTGTTGGCTCGCTGCCGGTTGTGATGTTGACGTAAATACCCACCATTTGGTGACGATCGTTATTGTGCTGTCATCGATGCGAGCAATATAAACATTTGTTTAGGGTGCTCCTTTTTTGTGGATTTGGTAAATTAATTAAATATTAATTAAATCAGTTTATTATTTGCCAAGTGCATGAAGAAGAAATCATCATCTTCAGGCTAAATTCCTGGTAAAGATAAGGAACTGCTCGGTTGGGAAATTAATTCTTTTTTCCAATGTAATAGGCTGGAATGGCTCTCAGTTAATCGCTACACATTTTTTGGGGTATTCATAAAGTTTAAAACAGCAGCTAAGTTATAGTTTTGGCGTACCGTGCGCACAATCCACGGTTTTGAGACCAGAAAAAAAAACATATGGATAAGATCTAATTTCCTATCTTTTTCTAACGGGTTGAGAAAAAAAAATATGTCATCAAAACATTATAAATATATTTACCTTTCCATGCGTACCGTTACATTTGATAAAAAGTCACTCATGAGATATTGTTAAAAATATAATACTGCTTCCATCCAAACACATTGAATCAAATTTGATTAACTTCGGTATACGGATATAGACAGAAACAATGTATTCGCTAGTAGAACTGATTTTATTTTAGTGTAGAATGGATGTACTTAAATATTCATATTATGCGTACTTTTTCTCGTAGATTTGAAACTAAATTAACGAACCAAATGTATGATTGGTTCGTTCACGTCGATATTATTCATATATTTAATGTTTTTGCTCGATGTGACGGAAATGGGCGCTCATGCCGAAGTAGTTCTCTACCCCATGTAGTTTTTATCGAACCGGATGCGTTGGGTAGCTTAATAATAGCAGCCAGCTTGCTAATTTTGCATGCATGAATTAGGATAACTTTCTAATTTATTTGCCATCAACAAACCGTATGCATTGACTCATTTAACGTTGTTAGGAGAAGCTTTTCGTTGTTGTTTTATTTGCCTTCTTTAAAGATAAATATACACATCTTCAAATAAGTTCAAACCCAATTTCAAAAAGAAGCTCAGGCTTCAGAACAAGTGGCTGCGTAACATTTAGATAAATGAGCTGAAATAGCTCACAAAATTGTATGAGACTAGAACTACTTTTTTCAATTATAATACAGGTCAGACTCGATTATCGAGGGATCGATTATTCGAGGATTCGATTATCCGCAGAAAATGACTCCAGAGGAATATTTTTTTTCTGTAGTATTGGATTTGAGTAAGTAAAAACAATAAGCCAACTTGCACACCAAATTTAAATCGCTGAAAATCAGCAAAATTTTGCTGATTTTAGGCTTGATGAAAGATCAGCAAACGTTCCGACTAAATAATGCTGCTGAATTTTTAAGCAATTCCAAATTCTGTAAAAATGACAACCTTTTACTGAAAATCAGCACTATTTCTTTACTGATCTTTCAACTGTTCAAAATTCTGACATTTGGCAGCATTTTGCTGATTAAACTATTAAATTCAGTAAATTGAATTTCCAGCTTCTGTAAAAGATCGTTGATACAAATATATGAATTATAAAGATAAAATCGCCAGACTCTTTTCCAAATTACCTACATAAATTTATTTATTTATATCACGTGAAATACGCTGTCTTGCAATGAGCACTCAAACGTCTAGTTTTCACTGGAAATCCTATGTATGAGTGCTCATTGCAAGACAGCCTATATTACCTGATATAAGCTGTAATGTGAACGGGGTATAACGGAGATATTAAACACATCAAGAACTTGGAATCATTTCCAAGCTGCCGTGTTTCATATGAGAGAAAATATGCGAGATGCGATATGGATATATTTAGAATGATACCTGATCAATCTGAAATCTTGTAAAAACATGCTGTTTTCAAGTGATCCCTTATTACTTGACATTATTTTAAATAATTTTTCAGCCACCTGGAATCCTTGAGGATATCTTGGGGATGTGATTTGAATTGTTGGGCAGCTGAAGATCTTCAGAATGAAACCTGAAAAAGCTGAAATCTTGAAGAATTATTATGAGGACTTTTTGTATATCTATGATCAAACGGAGATCTTTGGATTAATTTCTGAGCAATTAAGTATTTGAGAGAATTACTGGGAAATGTGATTTGAATTGTTGGGCAGTTGGAGATCTTCAGATTTTTACATGATCAAACTGAAGCCTAATTCAAATATCTGGACGATTATTTTGAGGCCTATGATCACCTGGAGGCTACTTAGTACCTTGCAAAATGCACGTTAAATTTTTGGGCAGATGAAGAACTGCAGTATGATACCTGATCAAGCTGAAGTCTAAATCAAATACCCTGAGGAGTTTTTGGAAGATGGAAGATCTTCTTAACGATACCTGACAATACTGAAGTCTTGAACAAATATGTTGAGACCATTGAAGGCATTGAATGCTTTGCTTTATATGCTACCATTACATCAATTTGTACAATTAGAAGCCGACTAGTGTGCTCTAAGAATTACATGGTCAGTGAAACTCTTTGAAGGATACCCTAGAGGACATCTTAGGATTATAAATACTGCTAGTATCAACTCTCTAGTAAGGAACAACGAAGACTGGATGGATAAAAGATACAATTTCAATCGACTTTTTCAAGTATTTGACCCTGGACGTAATTCATGGCAATTTGGTGGCCCGGTTCTTCGTCCAGTATCGATTGTTTTTTATACAGATGGTTCAAGATTAAACAATCAAGTGGGAGCAGGAGTAACTGGCACAGGGATAGAAATATCGGTTGCTATGGGCAGATGGCCAACTGTGTTCCAAGCTGAAATCCAAGCAATTTTAGAGTGTTCCATTATATGTTTGCGTAGAAACTATAAGTGCTCAAATATATGCGTTTTGTCCGACAGTCAAGCTGCTCTAAATGCTTTAAAGTCAGTGACATGTACATCAAAACTTGTCTTGTCATAATCAAGTCAACTTATATTGGGTTCCTGGTCATTGCAGGATTGAGGGAAATGAAAGAGCTGATGCTCTAGCAAGACTCGGATTTTCTCATAAGTTATCGGCTGCATCTCATTCTAAGCTAAAAGCGTGGAAATCTTCAAAAGTGGAGGAAAACTGGAAGAACACTTCTATTGCTAGGCAATCGAAGCGATATATTAATCCAAACATTTCTGTGACCCACAAAATCCTGGAATTTTCTAAGAAAGATCTTAGTATATATGCAGGTCTTATAACAGGTCATTGTTCGAGCCTTTATCACTTGAATCTGATTGGAAAACTTCAAGATGATGTATGTCGCTTCTGTGGCATAGAAAAGGAAGACTCGGAACATTTGCGATGCCACCTTCCGGCAATTTTTAATAAAAGGCGTAAGTTCTTCGACAAGGGGCTGATAGAACCCTTTGACATTTCGAGAACAACTTTCAGTACGGCAGTGCACTTTATTCGAAGTATAATGCCGTGCTGGGATAATGCTATTAGTCAAACGATGGCGATCACTCCTAATAATAGTGATATGGCATCTTCATATAACTAAAGAAAAAAAATGGGGAATATATCACAATAGATCAGAAAAATAGTCGCAGTGATGAAAATACCCGACAAGAAAAAAAAATGCTGAGGACTTTTTGGAAATCTACACACTAAGTTTTTTCTACCGAACTCGGCTGTGCAAATTTCGGCATAAAAAGTTTTACTGAGATCTCAGCAAACTTTTCATTTGTTTGCTGAAATGCAGCTAAGCATTATCCGAGACTCAGCAATCAAATGTCACTTTTCCTGAGATTTCAGTAAAACTTATTTTTGCCATGATTTGCACAGCCGAGCTCGGTATAAAAAAGTGTGTATGATCACCTGGAGGTCTTTGAAATAATTTCTGAGGAACTTGCTATTTGAATGAATATCTGAGAGTGTGATGAATGTGATTTGAATTGTTGGGCAGATGAAGATCTTTTAATTGTAACATGATCAAGCTGAAGTCTTTATTCATGAACATTTATTGTGCAACTGTGCAGCACTTCTTAACAAAAGGGTAAAGTTCTTTGATAAGGGACTACTACAACCCTTTGAAATATGGTGTTCATCTCCTAGTAAGGTAGTGCATTTTATACGACACATAATTCCTTGCTGGGAATATACCTAAAGTTAGGCGTTGATGGTTACTTCTAATAGTAGTTTTTCACCCTAATTAGGTTAACAAAAAAACCGGGGAATATACTACAATAGATCAAATACATGGTAGCAGTGGTAATGTACCCAACAGGAAAAAAAGCTGAAGTCTTGAAAACATAATTTAAGGAGCTATTGGAGATGTATGATAACTTAGAGGTAATAATCTATGAGCAAAATGGTATTTGATCAAGCTGAAGTCTAGAGGATTTACATATCTAGAGGATTTTTTGGAGATATATGATCACTTGGAGGACTTTTGAATAATTTCTGAGCAACTTGGCACTTGAGAAAATATCTTTGAGTTATTTTTAAAAGATCTTCGGGTGATCAAAGATCTCCATGAAATTCTCTGGTCGTCTGTTCAAGCTTCAGGTTCATCAGCTACTATTTGGAAGATCTCTATCTGCCCAGCAATCCTAATCTTGTCTGTGATATATTCTCTCCTAATATCATGTTGCTAAGAAATTATTTTAAAAATCGGTAGATGTTTAAACATCTTTGTAAAATCCTCTGTGTGTTTTTTTTTAAAGATTCATCTGCATTTAACGATTAGCAGCTTGACATCAACAAGCTCGGCAGCCACTTTCGATAAATACTATCTTGCTCAAAATGTACGACGCCCATAGTTGCAGTCGAGCCGGCGCCAGTGTTGTAGTAGTAAGCGTGACTACTTTCTCACCCCAATGGGACTGGGTTCAATCCCAGCCGAGGTCGGTGGGATTTTTCTGAGGCATAAAAATCTCTGGTCACGTCTTCCTTCGCAAGGGAAGTAAAGCCGTTGGTCCCGGCCCATGTGTGTTGTAAATGGTTGCGATATCCTACGCAGGTGTGGAAGCTGTCTTCCTGCACATTCGATTGCCGTCAATGGATGGCAATCTATGTCCGTCGGTGATTGGCACTAGATTGCGGAACAGAGACTGACGTTAAATAAAGGAATAAATCATAGTTGCACTCATCGATACAATCTAGAATATTGGTTGGCTTGCCCTTCCTCATGAAGAGGCCTGCACACGCCTATGGAATCCATCCACAATTTTGAGTGGAACCAATAAAACTAGGGTAACGGCACCGGTGGTGTAGAGGTAAGCGTGATTATCTCTCACCCAAGCAGGCCTGGGTACAATCCCAGTCGGCGCCACCGGAATGTTCTGAGACATAACATATCTGATCATGCCTTCCTTCGGAAGGGAAGTAAAGCCGTTGGTCCCCGATTCATGAGTTGATGGGTCGATAGCAAGGTTCAGGTGTAGGAGCTGCCTCCCTGGCGTCGATAGCATTGATGCTCAGCACGGAAAACAAAATCGACGGGGTGGGTTATGTTTGTATGGCGTATCACAAACCCCTGCTCCCCACTGCTCTTTAGATTAGGTATTGAGGTCGCCAATAACTGCCAAATTTGAATGAATATGAATATGAATATGCCAAATTTGAATCAATGCCACTTTTGAATGATCTGGATTTTAGGGAGAATTTTAAATGCTGTATGGGAAACGGGGTTTGTTAATTTGATCCACCGTAGTGCTGATGGATCCACTCAACAATGTGGGTGGCTAAAACATCAGATGAGCGAATCTTCTTCTTCTTCGCATTTCAAGCTTAATGCTTATCGCATTTTAGCTTATTGCGTGCTCTCAACTTAGTGTTCTTGATGCACTTCCACAGTTAGCTCTCAATTCATTCGATGCCTGTACCATTTTTGCATTAGTATAATTGTGTGGCAAGTACAATCATACTCTATTGCCCAGGGAAGTCGATCAATTTGCCAACCCGAAAAAATGCCTGGACCGGTCCGGGAATCGAACCCAGCCACCTTCAGCATGGTCTTGTTTTGAAGCTGTAAAACAGCAGTAAAACGAATAAAATAATGTTAAAACGTTAAATTTTGGCATATAAACCCAGTGCAATTAATTTTCATCATATGTCTTTGATAACAACAACGAAAAAAATGGCTCGATTATCCGGTTGATTCGATTATCCGAAGTGATTTTTTGTTTCAAGGCTCCGAATGGTCGAGTCCGACCTGTACTTTCAATGCGCAACTAAACTGAGTGCTCCTAGTGGTGCACAAGGCCAACGTGAATAGGGTGAATGACCGTAATCCGGTTAAAATGCTTAACCAAAAAAAAGGGCTAACATGGAAGATTTCTATCATGGGCGATTGCTTGCTTTCACCTGCACGGTGAATGAGAACGACCCAAATTTGAGTTTAGTTCACTCATAAATCATATAGATCAGCATCAAGTGCAGGAACTCAGCGATGAGTAAATTTGCCTCATGTTTCCCTGTGGCAAACCTAAAACATCTGGCGGAAAATGAGGAAAATTGACGAAAATTTTACTCAGCCTAGGAGTAGTACCAATAGAACTGAGTGAATCCAAACTCTACTGTTTTCATATTCGTGATGTTTTTCCTGGACAAACCTGGATATATCTGGAAAACCATGAGGCAAACTTACTCATCGCGAAGCTCTTGCACTTTATGTGATTTTTGAGTGAACTAAACTCAAATTTGCATCGTTCTCATTTAAGGGCGTAACCAGGTTTCGAGCTAGGGAGGGGTGAAAAAAATTACTATGGAAAATTTGGCCAAATACCATTTCGGCGAACGCCATTTCCCCGTAAGGCTTTGTGTTGCTGAGTTTAGCCCCCCTCTGACTACGCCTATGTTCTCATTCGCCGTGCAGGCGACAGATCGGTGAGCAGAATATTCGAGACCAACAATTGAAATAGGCAGAACAACCAAACGTAAGAAATGGCGATTTCTACTTCTATTATCCAAATGTATTAACGTAGCCGGCTCATATTACTGGCCAAGAAGTGTTGGGGATGCAAGGTTCGTTAGTCGATTCCGCAGCCTCCTCGAATAAGTCCACTTCCGGAGGCACGTCTAACTCCATACGTCAGGCCTTTCACCTTTACTGGTCTAGATTATTTTGGACCAATATCTATCAGATTCGGACGGGGTTGTGTGAAACGTTGAGTGGCATTATTTACCTGCCTCATGACGACGGCAGTTCATTTGGAGGTTGCATTCACGTTGACTACGGAATCCAGCAAGCTAGCTGTGCGCTGATTCATCGAACGCCATGGAGCGCCTCTGAAGATATACTCAGATCAGAGGACGAATTTCCAGGGAGCCCGGAAAGAACTGCAGCAAGAAGTGAATCAGATCAACCATGACTTGGCCGCCATTTTCACAAATGCAGCAACGCAGTGGAAGCTGAATCCTCCCTATGCTCCATACATGGGGGGCATCTGGGAACGATTAGTGCGGTCGGTGAAGACAGCTTTGGCAGCCATGGAATACTGACGAAGAAACCCTCTGAACTGCCTTAGCAGAAGTGGAGTCAATGGTGAACACTCGTCCGCTTACGTATCTTCCTTTGGATTCAGCAGAGAGTGAAGTGCTCACTCCGAACCACTTCCTGCTTCTAAGTTCTAACGGAATATGCCAGCCAGTCGCAGCTTCGCTGCATGAGCCATCGGTTTTGCGTTCGAATTGGAAGCACGTGCAGGTCATGTTGGACCGTTTCTGGAATCGATGGATCAGGGAATACTTACCAGTCATATCGCGACAGTCGAAGTGGTTCGGGGAAGTGAAACCGATACATATTGGAGACTTGGTCATGATCGTGAACGATCAGCAGGAATAGCTGGGGAAGAGGAATCGTCGTAAAGGTGTATACAGGAAAAGACGGGAGAATACGCAGCGTGGATGTGAGGTCTGCTACGGGCATATATAAGCGTCCATTAACTAAGTTGGCTGTCTTGGACGTGCTGGAACAGGATGGTATGGCTGGAGGAACTTCGTGCAGTACGGGGTGGGGTATGTGCGCGATTGTGGTATTGTAGAACGATTTGTGGTATCGTTCATGTATGGTGCTCGTTTATTTGGGCGATAACTTGAATTTCCCGGAAAATGTGGGGAAAAACCCGGGAATCGAGAATGGTGACATTGGTTGATTTCGCGGGAAATCCCGGGAGTCACCCTTTACTCACAACTCCTCGGAATTCTACTGAAAACTACTACAACTCTAGGAATTCTACTCAACATTCTCTAAGTAATCCCTTTTTTTTAATGCTTAAAACACAAGGCTTTAAAGTATTGTTTATCGCATCATTTCTAAAACGCCTAGCTAGACTATCAGCACGAAACGAAAATGAAAAAGAAGCTCGCTTAGGACGAAAGGCTGTCGGTAGATTTTCTCGTCGTTGCTTTGCTCACCCCTTTTAATGAAAGTAACATCGATTTTCAAGTTGAAACGAAGCCTCATTATGGCTTTCAAACTCTTTAACCGTCAATTTGTTTAATATGCATTGTGCCCCACTTTGGCTACTTTTTTAAAATAATATGTTGAAAATATATCACGTGTCATCTTCAAGTGTTTCCACGTGAGAAATACTTTGAATATATAATTTATAACCTTCAAATGCATCAAAGCAAACTCAAAAATGTAATTGCTGTGAATAGGTTGTATGCCTAAATTAATCGTTAAATATATGTAGGTGCATATCGTGACGTACGTATAAAAAAATGTTGTTAAAAATATCTTAGGCTTTATCAAAGTGCTACAGAAAAAAAACACGTGATTTTTATGAATGTGAAATAATTTGGACGTTAATGGGTGTTAATTTTATTATAATCACCATGAGACCCAGAGTCTATCACTTAATAATGATTTTCCATTGTATATTATTTAATTTTGCTTCATTAGGACCATGGCATTTTTAAATAATTATAAATCATGACACTAGATTAATTGAAAGCTTAATTAATAAACAACCTTATTCTTATTTCCAAGCAGCTTGCATCATAGCAGTATGCACATGTGCAGATGAACTCGTTCAGAACGAGGACCAACCATTTCGAGGAACTAGAAATGTTGAATTCGATTGGCAACTAACAAAGGTTCGTATTCGAAGCTCAAAATGCCACCAGCTTTCGTGGCACGGTACACAAATTACGTCACGCAATAAAAAAAAATGTGTTGTGCGCGCTCCCCCCTATATAGCAATATGCAACGTATGACAAAACCCCCGATTGTGGAGATTTAAAAAAGAATTGCACTCAAGAGCTCGATTTTTTAATAATTCCACGCCATTACGTAATTTGTGCACCAAGCCTAGGACACCTGAACTCATTTCATATCCTCCCATCAGCAAGTGCTACGAGCGCAAAAATCCAACGCTGTGATTTCGCCTTTCTCGGTGAAAATCCTCCTGGTCCTGTTGTACGAAGCCACTGGCGATGCTGCCGAACTGTCACAAACGCAAACCAAGAAGGAGCTGCGATCCGTTCTGGAACCAAGTGGTGATCTGAACAGAACTCGAACCTTGTATCGGGAGTGGTTGGATTCTGCACTGGTAATTCACATTTATTGAGCTCAAAGTGTGCGCAATTATAACCAATTCATTCCAAATTTAAGGTACCCAGTAAAGAATTCGATTTGGAGATTGCCACCAAATTCTTTGTGGAGGAATACATCGATATCATCTCGAAGTATCAGATCATTTCAGATCATTACTACAGCGCAACGGTCGACAAAGTTCCATTCTCCAATCCCAAGGTAGCAGCTGATACGATCAATGGCTGGGTGAACCAGGCTACCCATGGACGCATTCCAGAGCTTGTCACTGCTGGTAAAACCATCCAAAGTTATAGCTTTGTTCAGATCACTAACAAGTATCAACACTTATATTGCAGATGGCGTTGAAGGAGCAGTCATCACCTTGGTCAATGCCATCTACTTCAAGGGTCTGTGGACCTATCCGTTCCCCGAAAACGGTCCAAAGTTGACCTTCCATGGTAGTCAGAAACAAGTTCAGGTCGATTTCATGGAACAGAACGGTCAATTCTACTACGACGACTCTGTTACCCTGAATGCTCAGTTGCTTCGATTGTCGTATCGGGGCGGTAAATTTGCCATGTACATTCTGTTGCCACATCAAGGAAGCTCGATCGATGACGTTCTAAATCGCGTAACATCAAGCACATTGCACACGGCACTTTGGTACATGGACGAAACCGATGTCAACGTTACGATTCCCAAGTTCAAGTTTGATTTCTCGGAAGAACTGAATCAACCCCTGCAGGATGTAAGTGTGAATTGATAATGCATTTCCCTACGTTTGCTAATTGTTAAAAATCATCAGATTGGAATTCGTGAGATCTTCTCCCAAAATGCCTCTCTTCCTCTGTTGGCCCGTGGAAAGGGAACCCGAAATGAAGTACGAGTGTCGCGAGTCTTCCAGAGGGCCGGTATTGCCATAAACGAAAAGGGAAGCGAAGCCTATGCTGCTACTGGTAAGATATTGCTCCCATTGCAAAAAACTGCATACGAGTTTGACACATTCTGGTCCAATCGCAGAAATTCAACTGGTGAACAAATTTGGAGGAGATGGAACACAGATCTTCAATGCCAACCGGCCGTTCTTGTTCTTCATCGAAGACGAGGACTTTGGAACGCTGCTCTTCATTGGCCGGGTGGAAGATCCAACCAAATGAGATCCCAACATCGAAATATAATTTGAATCGTGAAATATGTTCTGGCTGATTGTATGTCATCTGCATTTGAACTAATTAAATAAATTTCCTACGAATAAGAAACACTAAGACATGCACCATCAGTATCGAGATGACTACTTCCACTCCTTTATTATTGATTAATTTTCAATGGCTGCTCTTACCGGGTTGTAAATAAAATGCATTAGGTGCACTTGGATGCCTTGATAGTTTTTCACCGTATTACTCACACTCGATTAGGTTCGACTTTATTTAACCGCCTTCTTTGCTACCGATCAAAGGGTTAAATGGATCGTAAGAAAATTTATCGATGCGGAAGGAAGCATATTCTAATCAAATGCCGCCTACTGACATGGTTAAGAGAGGAGCTTATTTAAAACATACTACCGTGACAACTTATGCCTAAGCATGGATTCTTGGAATTCACTTCACAATTGAATTAGGCTTTTTACTAACCCTCTACTGCCCAAGTAAATTAGAAGAGTTGGGACAAACAAAATCGAATTGTTTAACAATGGCCATTTACACGAAGATTTCGGTTAAAATATCATTATGTTAAGGCATGCTGAAGAAATATGTTGTGTGATTTTCAGTAAAAAAAATATTTCTTTGAAAAAATGCTCTTAGCTTCAAGACGATAATTCCACTCATAATAGAATTTAGACTGAACAGATTTTCTGAAATTTTGACCAAAATTTGCCCGTCAGTTCAATTTTTAGCTAGCAAAAATTGGGAAGAATATTTTTACAAAAACTGCTCAATACAAGCTACATTGATCTAGATCAAAATAATGTGCATCTTTTTTTTTTCATATTGCCTTGAAGGTCTTCCGAAAGAAAGCATGTAGAATTAAAAAAAAAAGTAGGCAGAAGAGAGGCCTCCCTGAGCTCAGTCGGTAAAGGTGCTGCTTTAAAGCAAGACCATGCTTGAGGTGGCTGGGTTTGACTTCCGGTCCGGTCTAAGAATTGTTTGGGTTGGAAAATTTCTCGACTTCCCTCGGCACTTAAGAGTATGATTGTATTTGCCATACAATAATACTAATGCAAAAACGGCACTGGCTTTGAAAGCTCTCAATTAACATCTGTGGAAATGCTCAAAGAAAACTTAATTGAGAGCCGGCGTTAAGTCCCAGTAGGGACGTAATAAAGCTAAAGAAGAATAAAAAGATTAATTCTAGCGAAAATTAGGTTAAAGTTCCTCAGAGTTACAGTGATTTGGCTTCAATAATTTTGAATCTTTCTAATTTTCTTCATGATAATACTTAAAATGCATAAGAAATTCCTAGATATGTACTAATTAAAATTCTCCTCCGAATGTTTTTGGAATTATTCTCAGCATTCCTTGTAAACAGTTCTCAGACCCTCCGCAAACGAACTGTGCTTCCGAGAGTGATCTAACATTCACGACTGATTCTTATGACGAAGGAAAGTCGTTTATTGCATCAGGTTACGAGAGGAATAGTGTATGTCCAACAGAAGCTCAGAATGATACTACACAACAAGTAAGCGAAAACTATTTTCAAAATCAATCAGTCACACTTTGCCAGGATGCCGCTTTGAATATACCTGTTAACATAGTAAGCGTTGTATGATAACCATAAATGAGAAATTGGCTAATATGCCATTTTTGTCAAAATCGACAAAATGGTGTTCCTTGATAGGTGGCACTCTTGTCAAGTCCCCACTGCGTAAAATTGTCTAACCAAAATGATTTGCGAGGATAACGACTTGAAAAACTAGATGACTAATGTGAAATATAAATGGAAAATTGTCTTATGTGAATGATGTGTCTGAAACCGAGCGCAGCAACCAATGTGTTTTTAACAGGAATTGTTTTGAGATGGTAAGTAAGATGGCCTGATAGCAAGGGGTAGGTCACTCCGCACACCTATCTTGGGTCATCTTTTTTTGTCAGTGTGGGTGTGGTGGGTGTCCAAAATGTTGATGTTTTGTGTTCCATAGGGTAATAAAAGTCCTGTGTTTGAGTGTTTTATAATGCCCTCAAAGGCAGATCAGAAACCTAGCTTTTCGTGATGTGAAAAGCATCTGTCTATCAGAGGCCGGAAAGAGTTGGAACCGGTGGGAAGCATTTTTGAAGACCGACTATATAGGATGATGAATAGACTTCTTTAGTTTTGTGTGAGTTGCAGCATTATTTGAATTAAGGGTAGTAATGGGGTCTGATTAACTGCTCTTTATCTTGAGCCCACTCCAGAACCTATATTTCATATTTAGATCTATACGTAAACGGCTGGTCTGAGCTCCTGTGGTATATTAAACTAAAGGATGTTCCTGAATATACAGTCCAACGTAGTGTTGTGAACAACTGCAATGACAGTGCTCCCATTTTATTTACAAAAATCCAATGCCTACGATATTGTGTCGAAGGTATGCTGAATGTGTGCCGATGGATGTGCCCAAGCTATGCTGAATCTAATTTCGGCAAAATGTGCTGAGTGACTTGCCTGATAGTCAAGTGGTCAAAGGCATCAGGTTGCGAATCCGATGATTCAGGTTTCAAAACTTGATATTTGTTGCTTATCACAAGAGTTTTTATTAAAATGAATTGTGGAATGGATGTTTTTATGTATTTGTAACAGCTTTAATAACTGGTAAATATTTCAAAATAAGCAAATAAATATCAAAATTATTATTCTTCATCAGATTTGTCATCGTGGGTTGTAAGGTTATACCAATACATTTTTTCCCGGTAGGCAACAACGGTACAAATTTTTAAATTATATTTTGCAGGGTCACTTTACGTTATCAAAAGGAGTCAAGTTACGTGTAAGAACGCTGGAGTGACTCTCGTAATGAGGGCCAATGTTGCACAAACGTTCTGCGATCTTTCAGTATCTGAACACTCTCCAGTGGTTCCAAATTTTTGTAGATAATTTAAAGCCATATCTAGCAGGAATTCACATCGCGATAAATGAGAACGTATGCACGTTAGACAAAACACATGGCCATTTGACAAATTTCCCCGGCTTATAAATGAAAAAAATGTCTACTGTGATTAAAAATTAGCATTTAAGGGAATTGGCTAAATTTTTCGCCGTTTTTATTTAACAGCATGTTTCAGGCATAGGAAAATATAGTTATGAACATTTCAAAAGTTAATTTTATCTAGTAAACCTTATTCAACCAACATAAAATTTAAAGTTGTATTTTTCTCGATTTCGTGTTTCAGGCACATTAGCCAATTTCTTATTTATGGGAAGACTAGTTTACAGCATATTTGAACTTTGTACGCTTGTAATTTTCCCATGTTAAATCTTGCACTGAATCCAAAAATGTAATCCAAAAAAATCTCAGTTCATTTTTTTTTTTTTTACTTTTATTTGTAAACTAGTGTAATCAATTAACAAATAATCATTCTCTGCTACGACTCACTTTCTGGACACACTTTTCTATCAGGTTATGGGCCCAGGCAAGCTCCATAGCAACGAACAGTATAAGTTCGAATTTTAATGACCTTGAGAAGAACTGAAGACGGAGTGCTATCTGTTCCTAGTCAAGAAGTTGGCGAACCAGAGCAGAACGTTGCAGATCAAGAAAACCGAACAGAACCAAGACTAGAGGCTCCAGGCGTGAATCAGTGAACTAGGATGAGTGGGCAGAGGATTCCAACCAGTAGTGTATCCCACAAACCCTTGAAGAATCTGAAAGGCCAGAACGATTATGCAGCATGTGCGTTCGGTATGCGGATGGTCATGATCAAGGAAGGTACGTAGTATGCTGTCGACCCTCCAGAAGGCACGGAGATTAATGAGATCCAGTAGTAGCAGCCGGTGGAAACTAACGTTTTTAAATTGGCTCACGACTTGACTAGCCTATTGGTCCCAAGCAAATCGATGACGTACCCCATTCTAGTCAAAATTCTAGTACTACACTATGTTTGTTTTGATTCGCTATGAAAATTTGGCAGATGAAATGAGGGGTTAGTGGATTTTCCTATGTTTAGAGGGGTGAATCGATTAGCTTGGGACCGAAGATAGTACCAGAGCTGAGCCAAAAAGTTGAGCACGTTTCTTCGGGACCTACTAGTCTTAGAGTTACCTCTATGGTAGTAGTGCTCCTTAGTGGTCCTAAGCTTCTTGCCCAGTAGCTCCTATCCCATCCTCCTCGCGGCGCCGGCTGGGGTACGAGTAACCTTAGGGAAGATCGGGTAACCAACCCCGGTGGGAACTTTGGTCGTATGCTGACAGGGAAGGGGGAGCTGCATCCTTTTCGGAGGATGTGGCTTACAAAACCCGAGAGTCTGTTTTCCATGTTAGGGGCGGCTCAAACAAAATCCTTCTCCCAGAAAGCTATATCCAAGATGGCAGTCCCATCACGGTAGAAAGGAGACCTTAGGCCAACCACCTACTGTCTCCGAAACCTTCAAATTGTTACAGAAACCTTTAGTGAAAGATTACGAACTGATTTTATGGCAACGAGTTTTGGCGCTAAACAACGGACAAGAATTGGAACATGGAATGTACTGACGCTAGCCCAACAGGGTAAACTGGCACAACTCGCCAGTGAGGGCCGCCGTATGAAGCTAGAAATTCTGAGACTAAGTGAAGTCCGCTGGCCGAACTTTGGAGAACATAAGCTGTCTTCGGGACAGGAACTTTTATATTCTGGTATGCGAGGTGAAAACGCTCCGCGACATCGTGGAGTTTGCTTTCTACTTAGCGCCCAAGCACAGGCGGCGCTCATCAAGTGGGAACCTATCAATGTGAGAATAATCGTTGCCAGATTCAGAACACGGGTCCGAAACCTTACCATAATCCAATGTTATGCGCCAACCGATGCTGCCGAATTGCAGGACAAAGAGAATTTTTACAGTCAACTGAATGTTGTCGTGGATAAGACTCCAAGAGGTGATATCAAGATCTACACAGGCGACTTCAATGCGAAGAGTGGCTCCACCAACTCGGACTATGAGCGCATTATGGGACGCCATGGTCTCGGAGATATGAGCGAGAACGGTGAGCTGCTTGCAGAGTTTTGTGGCAACAACGACATCGGGGGTTCGCTCTTCCCCCATCGCCCAGTGCAT